ATTCCTGTCGTATTATTGGCACCTCAAATACCAAATCTCAACATGAAAAACTGCATAGATCTTGGGATAACGTCATACAGTAATACACCTGCGACTTTGCCTGATTTAATGAATGCTCTTCTCCCTGCGCTCGAATCGCATGCAACAGTACCCAGCGATTTTACGAGACACCAGCCTCTAGATATTCTATTGGCAGAAGATAACATAGTTAATCAAAAACTGGCATTGAAAATATTAGAGAAGTTTGGTCATCGAGTAGAGATTGTATCGAACGGTAAACTAGCTGTGGAAGCATTCAAATCCAAACGATATGACTTGGTAAGTAAAGATGAACGGGGAAAGAGTGTTTAACAACTTAAGCAGTCAGTTTCGGGGCTTTGTGATTATACTTCATGTATATCTAACGTGTGTCATCTTGCGATCGATTAGATTCTTATGGATGTTCAAATGCCCATAATGGGAGGATTTGAAGCAACACAAAATATCCGAGAATGGGAGAAGGAACATGGCGGACGCATTCCTATAATTGCCTTGACAGCACACGCAATGATAGGGGATAGAGATAAATGTTTATCGTTTGGTATGGACGAATATGTGACGAAACCACTAAGTATGTATACTGTTTTGAGACTTATAAAGCGAGCAATATTTGACATTTATCGGAAACTAACCCACTGTAATTTAATTTATTTTAGGAATGAATGATCTTATAGCCACGATAAATAAATTTCCTGTAAGAAATCCAATAGAGGATTTAACAATGCCAGATGAGCGAAACGCCCACCAAGTGTAATAAATGTAGATTATAAGTAGTTTACTTTATACGTGTAAATGGACTGTTATCGGATGGAATTTTGTTGTATTTTGAGGGAAGGTTGTTTTTAGACAATTTTATTATATTATTTATTTTTGCATTATGTGTAATAATTAATGCAACGTGATTTGGAGTTATTGATTTAATATTTGCGATTTGTCTTTTTTGTAACATTCATTAAATAAATAATTCTAGATAACGTTACAACAAAGCAGTAACTGAATTAATCATTGCTGCTGCTTACCAGCGTGGAGGTTTTTTTGATTCACGTTCCCAGAGATTCAAAAGATTAATCTATAATCAATTGACGAAAGCAGGAATTGAAACCCATCAGGATATTTTCGTCAAGCCGTAACTGCGTGTGACATGCGCATCAAGTACGGGTCGGTTTTCCTTGTCTTCAACTAAAATATGTACAGATTTCTTGCTTCATCGGTCCATTTCGTCACTTCAATTGATCATAATCTAAACCAAGTGATGTGAATTTTACATTCTCCACATCATTTGAGT